CGCAGGGCTCTCAGATGCTACCTCTGCTCTGCTCTCAGCTGGAGTGGGCCATGAAGCTCTGGTGGCCGCACAGCGAAGCCATGATTGCCTTCCTTATGGGCTACAGCGACAGTGGGGACCCTGCCTTACTGCACCTCTTCTACCAGGTGGCTGAGTACACCTTCCGCCGGGTAAGTGCTGCTTCCTGGTCCACAGCCCTTGATGGGCTGGGCAAGGGCGTGGGAGAGACAGTGGGCAGTCATTCTTCCCTGGGCAGGCCAGGGCCAGGCTTTCCTGGGCAGTGGGAGGAGGGTGGGCAGGGATAGGGTGGCCCATCCCACACCCCCTACTCTCTGCTTCATTGAATGTGGTCCCTCAGCTGATCTGAGAGTTCCTGGAGGTCCCCCCAGTGCCCTCTGTTTAGTCAACAAAGCAGTCCCTGCTCCCCTGGAGCTCATGTTTCAGTGGGGAGGGTGGGGGACACAGACTATAAACTAGTGAACAAGCAAGCACAGATGGCGATGGGAACTATGGAAAATAAAGCAAGGTCAGGAGCTGTGGGAAGGAATAATGGTGGTGGGGGTGGTCTGTACAGAGTTATTAGCTATTCTGATTTAGGCATTACTGGGTCCTGGGCCTTCAGGAAGAGACTGTGGGGCACAGAGCCAGAGGCTGTAGCTGTCATCCTGGCCAGTGAGGGTGGGGGCCTGGCCTGGGGTGGGAGATGCAGTGGACAGATGATCATAGTCTAGTTATTTGGGAAGGTCTGGGCCATGACTGTTTGGGTGTCATAAGAATATAGATGATACTGGAAACCAGGACACAGAGTAAGCTTTTAAAAATACAGGAGAGGAGGGAATAGGGGACCCAGCAAAGGAGACAAGAACCTGCAGGGGGTCTTATTCTCGGGTCCACAGGCTTTAAAACTGGAGGGAAAATTACACCTTTATTTTTTACTAAGCACTAACTGAAACCCAGCATTTACTCCCATTATGAATGGAGGCAGTGACCACAGTAGCAGCACCTGACTTTGTCACCAATAGAAACCCCAAATATGTTCATGTTACACTGTACTTAGAGAGGCATCTCAAGTATAGCACAAGCTCATCACTACTTCCAAACCAGGAAATCATGAGACTCAAGGCTATGTCTTTAAAAATATTTTTTTAGTGATTTTTTTAAAGGGAGAGGAAGGGAGAGGGAGAAACATCGATGTGTGAGCAAAACATCAATTGGCTGCCTCCTGCACAGCCCCTACTGGTGATAGAGCCTGTAACCCTGACGTGCATCCTGACTGGGAATTCAATTAGCACCCCTTCCATGCAAGGGATGACACCCAACCAACTGAGGCACACTGGCCAGGGCAAGGCTATACAGTGGGGCCTGGACTTACGAGTTTAATTCGTTCTGTGACGGAGCTCGTAACTCAAATTACTCGTATGTCAAATCTTAAAGTGAACGAGTGAGACACGTGATGCTGGGCTGATGTTGTGGCGTTCACTGTGACATTCGCTGCGCCAACTAGCGGTGGGGTATCTGAAGCTGGCTCGTAACCCGAATTTTAGCTCGCAACTCAAAGCAAAAAATCCGCCAAGAGACGGCTCGCATCTCGAAAAACTCGTTATTCGGGACACTAGTAAGTCAAGGCCCCACTGTATCTTAATACTGAATGCATTCATGAAGAACATGTGTTAGAGGCCACCAGTTTAAACTGTCTGAAGTTACATTTAAGGAATATATTTCCAAGAGCTAGAGATGGCATTTGAACAAGATACAGTGTTTCCGTCATCCCCAAGCAGGGTTCTTGTTGGTTTATCCCCTAGTGTTCCATCTAACAGCCTGTGGCCCTTTCCCTCAGTGGGTTAAACAACTGCAGACCTTCATCCTCCCCACCCCCCTGGCAGGAAGGGAAAG